AGAGCTCCAAAAATGTGACAGAAATGGAAGTCGAAAATTTATTTCCTCGCTATATTTGCCTTTTCAGGAGGTAATTAATCTGGTATCAGCCATTTGTAGGAGTCCAATGAATAAATATATGTGAAAGAACTTGGGTTCTATTGTATATCAAAAGAGCTTTCAAACCTGTTTTTAAACTCTCAGAGAGTAGCAGCCTTTTACCATTCTTATGATGTGAGTTAGATACTTCCCAGAGTAGTATTTTACACTTTTCAACAACAGAGTTTGTGAAATTTCTTACATACCCCCTTTCCTTGCCCATCTGGGGCTGTAGGTAAAATTTTGATGGCTACATGCATGACGTGTACTTGAAGCAAGTCTTAAATTCTTAAATTCTCAGAGCCTCAATTTCTTTATTGTCAAATAAGAGTACTATCTCTTTTAATATAAAAATATGATCAGTAATATAAACATATTTCCAAGATTTGAACATAATAATCTATATGAAACAATTTTGTAAACCTTAAAGCGCTATATAAACAACACTTATCTAAATTAAAATCATCATTAATTACATTAATAGTGATCTTAATATATAATATCTAACCCTGCCCAAAGAGAAAGGAATATTTTACCTTTTCAGGTTTTTTTGACACACAGGGATCACACACACACACACACACACACACACACACACGCACGAATGTCTAGTAGAATTTTTGGTCCACAGAACTGCAGCATGTATCAGGCTGAATACTTTGAAATCTGCTAGGGAAAGCGGGATTCTTTGCTGTCAGCCCAAAAATCCATGCTAAGTTCTTTTGCCAAATGACATTTGCTGTGGTTTGAATGTCCCCACCAAAGCTCATGTTAAGAAGTATTAGGTTATGAGGGATCTGCTTTCAAATAGATTAATGTACTTATCATGAGAGTGGGTAGTTATAGCAGGAGTGAGCGCTTGATGATAAAAATATAAGTTCGGCAGAATTCTCTCTTGATTTCTAGTGCTTGCTTCCATCTTTTGTCTTTATACCATGGGATGACCCTTGGCAGATGTCAATGCCATGCTCTTGGAATTCCCACTTCCAGAATCATGAGCCACACTTTTTCTCTTTTTAATAAGTTATCCAGTCTGTGACATTCTGTTATAGTAGCAGAAAACAGAATAACACAGAAAATTGATACTGAGAACTATTATTATTTCTAAAATATCTGAAAATGTGGAAGTAGTATTGGAACTGGGTAATGGGCAGAGGCTGGGAGAATTTAGAGAAGCAGGCTACAAAAAGCTTATATTGCCTGGAATGGAGCATTAAGGGTGATTCTGGTGAGTGCTCAGAAGACAGCTGTAGGAAACGTCAGAATCTTCTTTGAGATTACTTAAATGGTCATGACCAGAAAGTTGGTAGAAATATGGACAGTAAAGACCCTTTTGATGAAATCTCAGACAAAAATGAAGAACAAGGTATTGGAAACTAGAGGAGAGATCATCCTTATTATACAGTAGCAAAGACCTTGGCTGCATTGTGTCCATGTCCTAGGACTTTATGGAAGGAGAAACTTAAGAACAGTGCACTAGAAATCAGTGGAAGAAATATCTAATCAGCAAAAGTTGAAGTTGATGCATAGCTTTAACTTCATACAGTGAGATGTGAAAGGAAAAGAATGACCTAAAATTGGAATTTATAATTGAAAGACAAACTGAACAGAAAGATTTGGAAAATTTGCCGCCTGGCTATGTAAAGGGTAGAAAAGTGTTTTCAGGAAAGAGTACTAAATGTATGCCCAGGCAACCTTTTGTTAGAGGTTAATGTGGATAGCAAGGTACCATTCATCAAGAAAATAGGAGAAAGACCCTGAAGGCATTTGAAAGACCTTTGAGGCTGCCTGTGCTGTCCCAGCCCCAGAGTTCTAGGATGATAGAATAGTTTTGGGTGCCAGACCCTGCCTGGTTGCTCTCCCTGGACTTACTGCCCAGGGCTGCCTTGGGAGTTGACTCCCTACATTCTGGCACAGCACTCTTCAGACACCCCAACTATGGCTTCTGTGGTCCCAGGTGCAGCTTGACCCACTGTTTCACAAGATACAGGTGGTAAGCTTGGTGAAATCCACGTGGTGTTAAGTCTTCAGTCTCACAGAATACAAGAGCTCTGGGGGCATGGCTTCATCCATCTTGATTTCAAAAGATGATGCTTACTTCTTTGGCGCACAGGCTGAGACTTTGCACAGTGGCAGAACCACCACAGAGAGCCCCCAACAGGGCAGTGCCTTGAGGAGCCAAGGAAATGGGGTTGACACCGAAACCCTAGAGCTTCAGGCATGAGACTCCAACCCATGAGAGCTGAAGCATAGGCTGAGCCTAGGAAAGCTATGGGAGCTGAGCTGCCTGAGGCTTTGGGGGTCGAACCCCAACCCAGTGTGCCCAGGATGGAGAATATGGAGTGAAAGGAAATTATTCTTCAGCTTTAAGATTTAATATTGTTCTTCCTGTTGGGTTTTGGACTTGCTTCAAATGAGTTATCCCTCTTTTCTTGCCTATTTCCCCATTTTAGAATGGGAATGTCTATTCTATGCCTTCACACATTGTATTTTGGAAGCAGATACCTCATCTGGATTTCACAGCTCATGGTTGCAGAATATTTGCCTTCAGGATGAAGCCTCACCCATATTTGATTTAGATAAGACTCTAGATTTTGAGTTAATACTAGAGTGACATTTGAGCCTACTAGGATGGAATGAATATATTTTGCATTGTATGAAGGACATGAATTTGGCAGAGGGGGGAGAGGAGGGGCAGAATGCTACAGTTTGAATGTCTCACCAAAATTCATGTTGACATTTAATTGTGATTGTAACCATGTTAAGAAATGGGATATTTAACAGGTAATTAGGCACCTTTTAGGCTCTTTCATTAGACAGAGCCCTCATGAATGGATTAATGCAGCTATAGAAGGAGTAAGTTGGTTATTGCATGAGTGGGCTCCTTATAAAAGGGTGATTGGGGCTCAATTTTCTCTCTGTCTCGTGTGACCCTTAGCAGAGGTCAGTGCCATGTTCATGTACTTCCCAGCCTCCAGTGAGTCAAATGAACTTGTGTCCCTTATAAATTAAGTCTGTGGTATACTCTAGCAGCAGAAAATGGATTCAGGCAACAAGGAGAGCTATAAAATACTTCTTTTCAGCTACACTGGCTTTCATTATCATTATTTGGTTAGATGCTTTTGAGGACATTTTCTGTTGCATTCCTCCATGTTTGGCAACCACACTCTATTGTGGAGTATTCTGGCTAAGCACCTAGCCTTCTTTTACTTATACCAGCAGGATGTAGTTGATCAGGGTAGTGAAAATCCACTGTGACATTGCGAAGACTCACTGCTATAAGAGGCCAGGAGTGAAATTCTCATTGTTTATAAATGTAGCTTCGTAAGTCCTAACCAAAAATTGTATCACCTTCAACATTACTCAATCTCAAGTCAATATTACTGCTTTTGAAAAATGTGGTTTTGGGGATACCACAACTAAAGGGGATGTAGGAAATTTAAGAGGCTTTGGATGAAATGATGAAGGTAACTAAACTTTTATTAAAAAAAAATAACTGAAGCACTGAGATAATATAGAAAAGGGGAATAATTATAAAGTGAGAATAAAAAGGAAGGTTTACTTTAATAAACCGATCAACTAGTGATTTAGATCATATGTAACAGGAAGATTAGATTTGATATGTTCTTGTGGACAAAAAGGTATTCCTATTGAATATACCTTTATATCTTGCTTAATACCTAAATAAGTATTAGCTTTTTCTTTTTATAAGTTATACATAATATGTTTTAAAGCAGCCATTTTCATATTTCAGAAACATCTGATAAGTGTAATAATTTGATTCTTTGAGTTTATGGAACTTAATTCAGTGAATATTTATGTCATGGGTTGTGGTAGATTTTGATTTTTTGTGGAAGAGGTCAACACATACATACTATTTTAAAAGGCAGCAAAAATAATTGTGTTTTTGTATTTTTTGGTTATAAATTGCTTTTAATTTCATGAATTTCAATTTAGGAATGCTTAATCTTCACATTCTTCACTTAATTTGAGTGAGAAAAATAAAATTTTCTTGGTTACGAAATTCTCAAATGATTAGCAATGATTTCTTTAAAAGACTGAAGGTGCATATTCAGTGGTTGTATAAATGTCTACTGCTGTTGTAAACTAGATTAACAATCAGTGCTTCTACAAATCTAAATATTTGTTTTTACTTTTTACTAGTATGAACCTGGAACTTTTCAATTCAGGGACATAATATAATAGAAAAGTTTTGCAAAGGCTTTGTAATCAGACAAACTTGGTCTCAAATCCTGGCTATCATGTGCTTGCTATGGGCCTAGAGCAGCTTACCCAAATGCTACTAACCTACCTCCATAGGATTATTGTAAAGATTAAATGTGATGCATCTGTTCAGTAACTAATAGAGTGCCTATTAAAAGGTAGATGTTCAATAAATATTAATTCCTTTCTTTCTTTTTCTCACTAGTCCACTTGTGTTTTTAACGAATCATCATTTACCCTGGAGTGTATTGTAGGAGGCATCGTGGATGGATGGCTGCTGGAAATCCCTTGCCATAGCCAGCTCTTCTTCAATACTTACAGATTTACCGTGGTTTTGAGTAATGAGAATTTTGGTAAGAAAAAAATAAATTAAAATAGCATATGGAATTTCCCTAAAAGGTTGTTTGCATCTTACATTCTTTGCAATAAGTTATAGGGTTATTCTCTAAAGATCTTGGGATATCATAGATGTCTGTATAGATTTGGATTGTTCTTATTTTGAAAATAAATAAAATAGGTTTTTTAAAACTGTATGATGATCTTGATAGGCCCTTCTTGTCATTATAAATGTGTTATTTCACTTATCCTACTCGTTTGTATTCTCTAAATGTCTTTGTACTCACTAAATTGTGTAGTCTTAGAGGGCAGGGTCTGGGTATCATTCATTTTTTCAGTGTAAACTAAAGGAAGCATGAACGCTTAGTGGTTAAGGTGGCAGTTAACTGCTTTCTGAAACTATAAAAGCTTTGACAACACAAAAGATGCAGGTAACAGTATAAAACTGTGGTAAGTTCTAGCATAAATGATTTTCCTCAATCACCAAGAAAAAATATTATATAGTCACTCTCAAGATAGAATGAAGTATCTGTAGTTGGTTCCATTTTATCCCAATTTTTTGCCAAATAAAAATAATTCATTTTTATATATTTACATTAAGTTAATATAACTAGTCCATCTCTATTAGTAATGCCTGTTATTAACCTGTGCATATTCTGTATACAATATTATGGCCTATTAAAAAGAGAGAAGAATGAGGAGGAGGTCAAAGATAATATAAAAACATTGGTATATATGTAAATGAACAAATATGTCAACTTTGTTAAATTATCTTTGACATGCATCTGCAGAAATATCTGTTAAAGAATTTTGTGCGTAAGAGACAGAGCTGGAGGTAGGAGAGAAAGCAAAGAAAAGATAAATTCTAGTTTTATTATTTTTGATAAGGAGGATTAATTTTATGTGACAAACATATATCTTTAGACCTAAAAATATGTTGACATGTTATTTTAAACTTCACTTTTTAACTAAAAACTTTAACCATTTGTTTATGATTATCTTTTTCAGAAACCACGTTTGAGAAGTATTTCCATTCAGTGCTACTTGTGTTTACTTCTAAACAGTCATTTTCTAACTGAGGCTGGCATTCATGTCTTCATTTTGGGGTAATTTTATCTTTAGGTGTAAATAATATGTTCATGATAATGACGATTGTCCTTGGATATCTTACCCATTAAGTTAGTTTATGTTCAGTTTGCTTATATCTCTAGGAACTCAGTATCTGGGGGATAGAAGGCAGACTGTAGAGATTCAGAGGAGGTTTGGTAAACATCTAACTGAGCATTCCTATGGTGTTGTAATTGTCCAAAAGAGCATTATAGCCCTCAGATAAATTGGGCCTTGTGATATTAACTGAACGTGGAAGTATATCGCTTACTGATAGACTACATGTTTTCTATGGCAATTAATAGTGGATATTTAAAATTTGCTTATGTTACTTTTTTATCTGTCCCTAAAACTGACTCCTCCTATCCCTTGATCCTTATCCTAGTTCAGTTTAAAACATTTCTTTCTTTTGTTTTTTCCTTCTAATAAAATTCATATGTTTCCATGACTATTAACTTTTTTCTTCTCTCTTAGATGCAGCTAATATACCCAGTTGGCCCAAAGCACCTAACCTATAGTTATATAATCTGACTCTCAGTTCAGTTTTACTCTACTAATGCCTTCATGGTATTGGGAACCATAGATTTGTGCAGGTAATTCTTCATCATAAGACAGATTAGTTTGACTATCATGCTTCTGTGTAAGGTCCATCAGGAAGTGAGTGAATATTTTTCCTCAAGCTCTAAGAATCATGGGAGGCCGAGGCGGGTGGATCACGAGGTCAAGAGATCGAGACCATCCTGGTCAACATGGTGAAACCCTGTCTCTACTAAAAATACAAAAAATCAGCTGGGCATGGTGGCGCATGCCTGTAATCCCAGCTACTCAGGAGGCTGAGGCAGGAGAATTGCCTGAACCCAGGAGGCGGAGGTTGCGGTGAGCCGAGATCGCACCATTGCACTCCAGCCTGGGTAACATGAGTGAAACTCCATCTCAAAAAATAAAAGAATCATTCCAATGTTACTTGGTCAGAGTAAGTGTATTTTGCCTGGATATAAATTTTATTTATTTTTTGTTTTTTTAAATATATATTTTACTGCACTTTAGGTTCTGGGGTACATGTGCAGAACATGCAGGACTGTTGCATAAGTACATACATGGCAATGTATTTTGCTGACGCCATCCCCCCCATCACCTATATCTGGCATTTTTCCCCATGTTATCCCTCCTGAGCCTTCATACCCCCTGCTGCCCTTCCCCTATTCCCCCCCAACAGACCTGAGTGTGTGATGATCCCTTCCCTGTGTCCATGTGTTCTCATTGTTCAACACCCACCTATGAGTGAGAACATGTGGTGTTTGATTTTCTGTTCTTGTGTCAGTTTGCTGAGAACGATGGTTTCCAGATTCATCCATGTCCCTACAAAGCACACAAACTCATCATTTTTTATGGCTGAATAGTATCCTATGGTGTATATGTGCCACATTTTCCTTGTTCAGTCTATCATTGACAGGCATTTGGGTTGGTACCAGGTCTTTGCTATTGCAAACAGTGTTGTGATGAACATACATGTGCATGTGTCTTTATAATGGAACAATTTATAATCCTTTGGATATATAGCCAGTAATGGGATTGCTGGGTCAAATGGATTTTTTATTTCTAGGTCCTTGAAGAATCGCCACACTGTCTTCCACAATGGTTGAACTAATTTACACTCCCACCAACAGTGTAAAAGTGTTCCTATTTCTCCACATCCTCTCCAGCATCTGTTGTCTCCAGATTTTTTAATGATTGCCATTCTAACTGGCATGAGATGGTATCTCAATGTGGTTTTGATTTGCATTTCTCTAATGACCATTGATGATGAGCATTTTTCATATGTTTTTTGGCCTCATATATGTCTTCTTTTGAAAAGTGTCTGTTCATGTCCTTCACCCACTTTTGAATGGGTTTGTTTGTTTTTTTCTTGTAAATCTATTTTAGTTCTTTGTAGATTCTGGATATTAGCCCTTTGTCAAATAAGCAGATTTCAAAATTTTTTCCCATTTTATTGGTTACTGGTTCAGTCTAATGATTGTTTCTTTTGCTGTGCAGAAGCTCTGGAGTTTACTTAGATCCCATTTGTCTATTTTGGCTTTTGTTGCCAGTGCTTTTGGTGTTTTAGTCATGAAGTTCTTGCCTATGACTATGTCCTGAATGGTTATGCCTAGGTTTTCTTCTAGGGTTTTTATGGTATTAGGTCTTATGTTTAAGTCTTTAATCAATCTGGAGTTAATTTTAGTGTAAGGTGTCAGGAAAGGGTCCAGTTTCTGCTTTCTGCACATGGCTAGCCAGTTTTCCCAACACCATTTATTAAACAGGGAATCCTTTCCCCATTGCTTGTTTTTGTCTGGTTTGTCAAAGACCAGATGGTTGTAGATGTGTGGCGTTGCTTATGAGGCCTCTGTTCTGTTCCACTGGTCTATATCTCTGTTTTGGTACTGGTACCATGCTGTTTTGATTACTGTAGCCTTGTAATATAGTTTGAAGTCAGGTAGCATGATGCCTCCAGCTTTCTTCTTTTTGCTTAGAATTGTCTTAGCTAGGCAGGCTCTCTTTTGGTTCCATATGAAGTTTAAGGTGGTTTTTTCCAGTTCTGTTAAGAGGGTAATAGGTAGCTTGATGGGGATAGCATTGACTCTATAAGTTACTTTGGGCAGTATTGCCATTTTCACAACACTGATTCTTTCTAACTATGAGAACGGAATGTTTTTCCATCTGTTTGTGTTCTCTCTTATTTCCTTGAGCAGTGGTTTGTAGTTCTCCTTGAAGAGTTCCTTCACATCCTTTGTTAGTTGTATTCCTAGATATTTTATTCTCTTTGTAGCAATTGTGAATGGCAGTTCATTCTTGATTTGGTTCTCTTTAAGTCTGTTATTAGTGTGTAGGAATGCTTGTGATTTCTGCACATTAATTTTGTATCCTGAGACTTTGCTGAAGTTGCTTATCAGTTTACAGAGATTTTGCGCTGAGATGACGGCGTCTTCTAAATATACAATCATGTCGTCTGCAAATAGAAAAAATTTGACTTCCTCCTTTCTTAATTGAATACCCTTCATTTCTTTTTCTTGCCTGATTTCTCTGGCTAGAACTTCCAATACTATATTGAATAGGAGTGGTGAGAGAGGGCATCTTTGTTTAGTGCCAGATTTGAAAGGGAATGCTTCCCCTTTTTGCCCATTCAGTATGATATTTGCTGTGGGTTTGTTGTAAATAGCTTTTATTATGTTGAGATACCTAGTTTATTGAGAGTTTTTAGGATAAAGGGCTGTTGAATTTTGTCGAAGGCCCTCTCTGCCTCTATTGAGATAATCATGTGATTTTTTTGTCTTTTGGTCTGTTTAGGTGGTGGATTACGTTTATAGACCTGCATATGTTGAACCAGCCTTGCATCCCTGGGATGAAGCCTACTTGATCATGATGGATATGCTTTTTTATGTGCTGTTGCAGTCAGTTTATCAGTATTTTATTGAAGATTTTTGTATCTATGTTCATCATGGATATTGGCCTGAAGTTTATTTTTTTGTTGAGTCTGCCAGGTTTTGGTATCAGGATGATGTTGGTCTCATAAAATGATTTAGGAAGGATTCCTTCTTTTTGGATTGTTTGGAATCGTTTCAGAACGAGTGATACCAGCTCCTCTTTGTGTGTCGTAGAATTCAGGTGTGAACCCATCTGGACCTAGGCTTTTTTTGGTTGGTAGGTTATTAATTGCTGCCTCAACTTCAGACCTTGTTATTGGTCTATTCAGGGTTTCAACCTCTTCCTTGTGTAGGCTTGGGAGGGTTCAAGTGTCCAGGAATTTATCCATTTCTTCCAGGTTTACTGGTTTATGTGCATAGAGTTGCCCGTAGTAATTTCTGATGTTGGTTTGCATTTCTGTGGATTCAGTGGTGATATCCCCTTTATCGTTTTTTATTGCATCTATTTTATTCTTCTCTCTTTCCTTTTTTATGAATCTCACTAGTGGTCTATTTTGTTGATCTTTTCAAAAAACCAGTTCCTGGATTTATTGATTTTTTTGAAGGCTTTTTTGTGTCTCTATCTCCTTCAGTTCTGCTCTGATCTTAGTTATTTTGTGTCTTCTGCTAGCTTTTGAGTTTATTTATTTACTTCTTTTTTTTTTTTTTTTTTTTNCTTGCTCCTCTAGCACTTTTGTTTTTGATGATAGGGTGTCAATTTTAGATCGTTCCTAGTTTCTCATGTCGGCATTTATTGCTATAAGTTTCCCTCTAAATACTGCTTTAAATGTGTCCCAGAGATTCTGGTATGTTGTGTCTTTGTTCTCATTGGTTTCGAAGAACATCTACTTCTCCCTTAATTACACTATTTATCCAGTCAACATTCAAGAGCCAGTTGTTCGGTTTCCATAAAGTTGTGTGGTTCTGAGTTAGTTTCTTAATGATAAGTTACTAAGTGTATGATCATTCAGCCTACACTGGGCTGATTCTGTATTGTTTATGGAGAAAGCTACTGCAAGCATAGTAAGAGTGTGAGCAACATGAAAGGGGCATATTTAATATATTGCAAAAAATAATTTACTGTCAAAATCATTACATGAAAATAATGATTACTTATTTTAAGAATTTTACCTATTTAGTAGACTTAAAAGTCTGGTAAAATCGCTACCTAAAGGAAACTAGTAATTCATCCAAATACCCACCAACAATAGACTGGACAAAGAAAATGTGGCACAAATACACCATAGAAGACTCTGCAGCCATAAAATGTGATGAATTTGTGTCCTGCAAGGGCATGGATGAATCTGGAAACCATCATTCTCAGCAAACTGACACAAGAACAGAAAATCAAACACTGCATGTTCTCACTCATAGGTGGGTGTTGAACAAAGAGAACACATGGACACAGGGAGGGTAGCATCACACTCTGGGGTCTATTGTTGGGGGACTAGCGGAGGCAGAGCTGAGGATGGGGAGTTTGGAGAGGGATAACATGGGGAGAAATGCCAGACATAGGTGACGGTGGTATGGATGCAGCAAACCACATTGCCATGTGTGTACCTATGCAACAGTCCTGCATGTTCTGCACATGTACCCCAGAACCTAAAGTACAATTAAAAAATATATACATATATATGTGTGTGTGTGCGTGTGTGTGTGTGTGTATATGTGTATATATATATATATAATCATTTATTGAGCATTGCCAGACATTTAGCACTGTTTCTATGTCATTGTGGTAAATTGACCTAGTTTATTTTAAAGTATGCCTCCAATTAGGCTTTTCTTTAATTCAGGTTTGTCAAGCCTCAAGTTATCATAAAATGTCAAAATTTTACTATATGCTCAGTGTGTATGTTCAGCTACAAGGCTGTTGAATGCACAAAGGCAAGGATAACGATGATTTTTTCACTGGTCAGAGTAAAAAATTATTGATTGCTCTTTTGCTTATAGTATTCATCAAGATGAATAAGCTCTTTCAACATGATTTGCTCTGTGGTTTTTCTTTCAGCTGTTTCAGTGCAGGGCTTCCTAAAACAGAAGCCAACTGGGTGGATGTAATAAGTGATTTGAGAAGAATTCAAGATCTTATTCAAGTGAGTACTCATTTTTTCCATAAAATAGCTGGTATAATCACTATGGAGTGTGTCTCTTTCTCTGTTTTTCTGTCAGTCTCAAGGAAACCACACTTGAAACAGTAATATTTTTGTAGAAATTTATGATCTTATGAAGCTCCAAAAGAATTGTTTTCCTTACTGTTTTAGAATCTAATTATCTTTAAAACATAATTTATAAGAGACCCAGGCTGATAAGTTCTAGTCTGCACAGGTGAGGGATTCTCTTCCTCTTTCTGGAGAAACCAGATATCTTGGTGGCACCTGCAGGGGGAATGGCTTGACCCAGGGAAGAGCTGTTGCTTGTGTACTAAAAACCTTCTTCTCCTACCTAGAGAAAACAGGTGACCCGACCTAAGGAAGTGCTCTTACTGTAGCAGATAATACCAGCTTCAGTGGAAGTCTCACTGGCACCAAGCATACCAAAATAGCACCACAAAGTTTTGAAAACTAAATTGTCATTGGAATCACAGCATTAAAAAGTAGGTTGGAACTTGCATGCTAAATTCAAATGGGCTGACTGCACATTAAAACAGAAGATTTAAATAGGACCAGAGTATCCTAATATAATAGACACAAAGCCAAGATACAATTGAAAATCATCTATTGTATCAAGAAGTAGGAAAGTTACAATTTGAATGAGAAAATATAATCAACAGACTACAAAATTGAAATGGATCAGATGTTGGAATTGTCTGACTTGGATTTGAAAGCAGACATTATAAAAAGTGCTTCAAAAAGCAATTACAAATGCCCTTGAAGCAAATGAAAAATGAAATGCCTTAACAAAGAAATAGAAGATATGAAAAGAACCGTGTAGAAATTATAGAACTGAATATATAACTAAAATACAAAACAGACTGTAAAGGCTTGTTAACAGACTGAATAACAGAGGAATGATAGTTAATTTGACAACAGAATACTAGAGAGACAACTGACTTTAAAAAAAAAAAAAAGCATCAGTGATCTGGAGGTAACCAACAAAAGATCCAGCATTCCTATGGTCGGCATTGTAGAAGAGTATGATAATACACCAAGTAAGAGAGAGAGATTGGCTGAGTTGACAACAGAACAAAACCCATTTATGCTATCTGTAAGCAGTTCACATCTAGTATAATGACATATATAGATTGAAATTAAAAAAAAAAAAACAGATAAAGATATATACCATACTATAATGGGTTGAATAGTGTCCCCCAAATTTCACATCCACTTGGGACCTTAAGATGTGATCTTATTTTGAAATAATATATTTGCAAATATAATTAATGAAATTAAGATGAGATCATACTAGAGTAGGGTGGACCCTAAATCCAATAACTAGTGTCTTTATTAGAAAAGGAAAGGACACAGAGGAACTCACTGGAAAGAAAGCCATGTGAAGACAGGGGAAGAGATCAGAGTGATGCAACTATAAGCCAAGGAAAACCAGGGATTGCCAGGATCCACCATAACCTTGGGAAAGTCAAGAAAGAATTCTCTAGAGCCCTCAGAAAGAACGTGGCCCTACCAACACCTTGACTTCAGACTTCCAGTCTCCAAAACTGTAAATGAATAAATTTATGTTGTTTTAAACCACCCACTTTGTGGTAGTTTGTTACAGCAGCTCTAGACTGATATACATGCATACATTAATGGTAAAAAGCATAAGTGGCTATATTAACATCAGATAAAGTAGACTTCACAGAAAATAAAGTTACTAGAATCAAGAGGGCCATTACATAATGATAAAAAATAAATCCATGAGGAAAACATAATGTTCTTAAATGTATACACATCAAACAACAAAGCCTCAAAATTTGTGAAGCAAAAAAATAATAGGGCTAAAAGAGAAATAGACAAATCCACAATTATACTTGAGAACTTTACCGCCTCCACCTCAGTAACTAATAGAAATACTAGACAGAAAATCAGAAAGGGTATAAACATATAGCATAAGCAACCAACAGGATCGAATTTAATACATGGAGCCCTGCACACAACAACAGCAGAATATACTTTCTTTCATCAAGACTGAATATATCCTGAGCCATAAAGCAAACTTTAAAATTTTTTTCAGAACCTAAACCATGCAGAATTTGTTCTCAAATCAAAATGGAATCTAACCAGAAATCAAGAAATTAAATACAACGGGCAAATTTCCAAATGCTTGGAAATTAAATACTGTACCTCTATATAATCCATGGGTCAAAGAATAAATCTCAAAAGATATTCATAATACATAGAATGAAAAAAATTAAATACAGCATATTAAGATATGTGCAATGCAGCTGAAGCAATACTAATAGGGACATTTTTAAAATCAAATGATTACATTAGAAAAAAAGGAGAATTATCAAATCAAAAATCTATGTTACCACTTCGAGAAACTAGAAGTAGAGCAAAATAAATTCAACACAAGCAGAACAAATAAAATGTTAAGTATAAGAGCAGAAGTTAATGAAATTGAAATCAAGAAAACAATAGAAAAAATAATGAAACATAAAACCAGTTATTTGAAAAACAAATAATTGTTATATCCTTATTAAGACTGACAAAAATAAAAAGAGAAAAAACATAAATCTGAGGAATGAAATTTGGGGCTATCAGTACAGAATCTGCAGTCATTTAAAGGATAATAAGAAAAACTATGAGCAATTTTATGCTCACAGATCTGACAACTTAGAGGAAATGGGCCAATTCTTCAGAAACTACAAACCACCAAAACACAATGAAGATAAAATAGACAATCTAAACACTCCTATAATCACTAAGTACATTGAATTCATCATACACAGGCTCCCAAACAGGAATCTCCAAGCCTGCTGGTTACACTGAAACATTCTACCAAATATTTAGAGAAGCATTAACGATTATAGTCTCTTCTAGAAAACAGAAGAGGAAGGAATGTTTTCCAGTTGGTTTTAGGAGGCCAGTATTACTCTGATGCTAAACCCAAATAAAGGCATTACTAAAAAAAGAGAACTACAAAAAATACCTCCCATTAACTTAAATATTAAAATCCTCAATAAAATATTAATAAATCAAATTCAGCACTGTATAAAAAGAATTATACACCATGACTGAGTGAGATTTATTTCCAGCATGCAAGTCTTGCTCAATTATTTGAAAATCAGCCCATGTAATCTACCATATCAACAGGCTAAAGAAGAAAATCATATGTCAAAGGTATCTGATAAAATGCCTCTTATGGGCTTAACCGTGTCCCTCCCTATGCCCCTGGATTTAATGTTGAGGTACTAATTGCCAGTATCTCAAAACGTGACTGTATTTTGAGATAAGGTCAGTTAAAATGAGGTCATTAGGGCAGGTTCTAATCCAATATGACTGGTATCTTTAGAAAAACAGATAAGGATATAGATACACAGAGATGGAAAACTGTGTGAAGACACTGGGAGAAAATGGCCATCTATAAGCCAAGGAGAGAGCACGCCAGAGAAACCAAACCTGCTGGTGCCCTGATTTCAGACTTCTAGTCTCCTGAATTGAGAGAAAATAAAATTATATTATTTATGTTACCCAGCCTCTGGTACTTCTTATGGCAGCCCTAGCAGACTGATATAATGCCCATTGAAGATAAAATTTCTTAGCAAAGTAGGTGTTGAGAACTGCCTCAAGTTGATACAAAACATGTACAAAAAACCTAGAGCTACCATACTTAATGGTGAGTGCAAGACTGAATGCTTTTCTACTAGGGCTGGAAACTAGACAAGGATATCTTCTCTCACCACTTTTACTCACCGTAATTGTCTTAGTATTTTTGTTGCTTATAACAGAATACCTGAAATGGGTAATTTATAAGAAAGGAATTTATGTCTTATGGTTATGAGACTGAAAAGTGCAAGGTTGAGGAGCCACATCTGGTGAGGGCATTCCTGCTGATGGGGGCTCTTTGGAGTTCAGAGGTGACACAGAACATCACATGGCGAGGGGCTGAGTGTGATAATGTGCTAGCTCAGGTATCTCTTCCCCTTCTTATAAAACTACCAGTTCCCCTTCCTTGATAACCCATTGATACTTTAATCCATGAGTGGACTAATCTTGTTGAAAAGAGCAGAGCCCTTGTGATTTAATTGCCTTTTAAAGCCCCACATGTCAATACTGCCGCATTGGGGATTAAGTTTCAACAGGAATTTTGGAGGCGACATTCAAACCATGACAACAATATTGGAAGTTTGGCCAAATTATGAAACAGGAGAGAAAAAAATGTATGAGGAAAAAAACAAGGACATAAAAGGCATGCAGATTGGAAAGGAAAATTATAATCACCCCAAGTTTTTTGGAGATAAATTACTAAAAATGGGTATATTTTGTTTAGAAAATAATGCAAATTAAAACCACAATGACATATTATTACATGCAGCTATAAGCATGTACAAAATAAAAGGATAGTGATGATGCTAAGTAAATATAAATATACAAGGGTGATAATGCTGGCAAGGATGCGGAGAATCTGGATCATTTCTACATTGCTGGCGATGATGTAAAATGATACAGCCACTCTATAAAATAGTTTGGCAGCATCCTATAAAACAAAACATGCATTTGCCATGCAATCCACCTACTGTACTTGTAGACATTCATCCTAGACAAACGAAAACTTTTATGCACACAAATATGTACATGAATGTTCATAGAGGATTTTTCATAACTACCAAAAACCAGAAACAAATTTGCTTCAGTTGGTAAAATCTGTGGTATATCATGTCAGGGAATACTACAGAGCAATAAAAAGATGCAAATTCATGATACCCACAATTTGGGCGGATCTCCAGGATATTGATGCATGAAAAAAGCCAATCTTCCTAAACAAACTGTGATACATCCATAAAATAGAATATTATCCAGTGATAAAAAGAAATAAGCTATCAAACCATAAAAAGAAATTGAGAAACCTGCAAAGCCATATTGTTAAGTGAAAGATGTGGACACCGATCTGAAAAGGCTTCACACTGTATGATCCCAACTATGACATTTTGAAAAAGGCTAAACTATGGAGACAATAAAAAGATCAGTGGTTGCCAGGGGTTCAGAGGGAAGGAGAGATGGCTAGGCAGAGCACAGGTGACTTTTAAAGCAGTGAAAATATTAATTTAGGATGAGGGATGACATTATATGTTTGTCAAAACCTATAAAATATACAACACAAATAATGAGCCCTAATATCTTATACACTTAAGACCATATAATTCATAATAATGTACCAATAGTGACTCATCAATTACAACAAACACACCACACTTAATACAAGATATTAACAATAGGGGAAACTGGGGTTGAGGACAAAGGGGTGTGTAAGTCTCTGTACTTTCTGCTAGCTTTTCTATAAACTTAAATGACTCATAAAAACATCTATCAATTCTTTTAAAAGCTAATTTCAGAAGGTTACATACTATTCGAGTCCGTTTACATAATATTCTTGAAATGACAAAATTATAGGAATGGAGAACAGAGAAGTGGTTGCCACAAGTTAGAGGGATTGGGTGGTGATGAGGTATGTTATGAAAGAATAGCTGGAGAATCCTTGTGGTGATGGAACTATTTTGTATCTTAACTGTAGTGGTGGGGATGTGAATCTATGCAAGTGATAAAATTGCATAAAACTTCACACACATGCCTACACACACACTGTGGCACTTAAAACTTGTGAAACCTGAACAAGGTGAGTGCATTGTATTCACGTCAATTTTTGGATTCTAATACTGTACTGTGGTTATGCAAGATATCACCACTAGGGGGAAGCTTGTTGAAGGGTACACAAAATCTCTCTGTATTTACTCTTACAATTTCAGTAGGTTGTTCTCATCATATTTAAAGCAGGGCATAGTTTTTAATATTGTCTAATTTTGTTTCCTTTCAGTCTGTACATATTGATGCTACTTTATATACGGAAAGTGATGTTCATGTGAGTATATTTTTTTTCAAAGTTGCTATTTGTCTAGTTATCAAAGTTTTTAAAAGTATATTTTTGTAACAACTAAAACATGTAGTTTTTAAATCTGACTTTTGGTGTGTTTCTATGTTATATTATCAATGAGTTTTATTAGTGATTGTTGAAGTGGTACTTGAGGACAGAAAGCTACATAAATGCTATTTTGTAATGATGCCAAATCAAAATATTTTAAGTCTTTTCTATCAATGTCAAACAAGAAACGTTATACATTTTTGTGATGCAGTTGCATCATGATGCAATTAGATAAAAAAATCAGGTTAACTGATTCAATTTAAGAGTAGCCGACATATCAGTTATTTACAGTGCTGGAATTTATCACTATCTGCAATCATATTTTCTATAAATTGCTTAAAGTCATCTATGTTCTGCATTTTACATGGTTATCTACATTTGTCAGAAAAAGATTCTGACTGATTACTCTCTTTGTGAGAAAAGAAACATAATCCATGAAATTTATCAGAATTCAAACATGATCTTGAACTTGTCTTATTAATACAGTGACATTTCCTAAGGCACGTAGGATTTGTCATGCTGGTAGTGGTCCTTCCTTTGGGATTGTTACTTAAACCAGTAAATGAATCCCCAACTTCACCTCAGGGAAAAAAAACGCTATGGCCTCTCTCCATTATTCCTCGATTGGAACTTCTCTTACATAGATGACTTTCTAAGCATTGGAAAGAAACCATAGCCAGAAACTAGAAAAAAGATATTCACCAACCAATTGGGTCATGCTGCTGCACAAAGAAATGGTCTCCCTTCTCTGGCTTCAGCGTGTTTTCTGTTTTCCTTTGCATTTTTTGTAAAATGGAAAGTAATCAATTAACCACCAAATTCAGCATCCTGAGATTGCTTTTTTGCAAGAAGATAACTTTGCAACCCATGGGTTATAGAAACAAACTTAGATTCAAAATTAGATTTTAAAACTAACTCCACCACTTTTTCCTTGTGTTACCTTGGAAATTACTAAACATTTCTGAAGCTCAGTTTTATTATTGCTGATATAATGACAGTATTTGCCTTTCAACCCTAAGTGGTGGCTGTCGGGGTTAAGGAATATCACAAGTGCTGGGCACATGGGTGTTTTCCTTCATTTATTCATCCATTCAGTAAGCATTTGTGAAGGGCCTGCAGGCTCCCAGGCACTGTGCAAGGCATTGGGGACACAAAGTCAAATAATGGTCAAATCCCCAGATATCCCTTAAATGTTTCCTTTCTTTTAAGTTCTTGTTAAAGTAAATGTTGTGGAAAATGTATTTTTGTGGTTCCTAAGAGATCCTTTTCTGATTTGTTCACCCTATGAGTGGACACTAGTCCTGCTTTGATTTTTCTAATAAATTTGTTGGAATTACTTTTCTCCCTATGGAACTTTGGAATTTGAAGTAGTGTAATTAGCAGCTACCTCTATTTAAAATGTTAACAACACAATTTGTTTCTAAACATTCTTACAAGTGCACTGCTATATTGATGCTTTCAGAGTCTAAGACCAGTATTATTACCCTTTCCACAGGAGAAATCTGCTCAGTGAGAAAAATTGGCCACAATTTCCACATTTTCTAGTTTCATGTTATTCTGTTCAATATTGCCATCCTTCTTGATTGTGTCTTAGTTTGTTTTGGTTTTGATTTTAAAGCCAAAAGTAAAAAAAAGCTGCCTCCTATGTAAAATTTCTTAAGGATATTGTGTATCTTTATGAAATACTTGGATTGACTTTTAAAAAATCAAAATTACATCAGTGTGAATATGAATAGTCAGAAAAAAATTTAATTGTTCTTTATAACTTTTATTTTTAGCCCAGGTGCAAAGTAACAGCAATGAAGTGCTTTCTCTTGGAGTTACAAGTTATTTCATTTGAGTCCAACAATACAAATATTAATGATACAATAGAAAATCTTCTCATCCTAGCAAACAGAAGTTTGTCTTCTAATGGGGTGAGTTTTCCAATAGTTGCTCAGAGTTGCATCTTATATTTTGGGCCTGATTTGGTGAAGTCAATCGTGGACAAGAAGATCCCCCTAAGGGGCACTCAGGAGAAGGAACTCTGTTCCAGTGGAGTGGCATCCAAAAGTGACACCATCTCCAGCATGCACACAATGCTAAACTGTTCAATGATTTATTCAGTAGACAGACATTTACAGAATAATGCCAGGTAGCGTGCTTCAGTGCTAGAATTGTAACTGTGAGCCAGACTAACAGGTTACTGACCTCAAGGTGTTTATTTTCAGGTGCAGTGGCTAGACATTAATCTCGTTACATACTCAAGTGTCTGACATCAATAATCATAACTCACATTTATTGATTTATTACTGTGTGCCAGAGCTTTAAATTGATAATTCATTTAGTCCTTATGATAAATCTGTGAGATTTATTTTCATTTTTATTTGAATGTTGAAGAAATTGTAGTACTGAGAGCTTGTATCACTCACTCCAGCTCATGCACCTAGTAAAATGGGGGGGGGGGTCACAATTCTTACCCAAGTAGTCTGTCTGCAGAGTCGATAATCTCATGAGAAGTTAAATGCTTTAAAAGGATAACAATGAAAATATTAACAACTCGAGTATAATCTGGAACATCACAGGCAACTTGAGCAGTAGAGGGTTCCAGAAGAGCAAATTCAGGTACTCCTATAATAGTCAGGGGAGTAGCTGTGCAAAGGCCCTGAAGTGCAAAGAATTATGGCTTTCATGACAAAACACCGGTGGCCAAAGCAAGGTAGAGAGGATGCAGTTTTGCAACAAAGAAGGCACAATCAAATTAGTTCATTGCAAAAATAATTTTTAGCCCTCAAGAGACAGTATGAAAAAATATCCATAATCCCTGCTGTTAAAGAGGGAAGAAACAGAAGTAAACCAATCACTCAGCACATGAGTAATAAGTTAGTTAATTATTAAGTCTAGCGATGAAAAAGGAGGCAGGGTAGGGGGTCTAGGGTTTCAGTTTAAGGCAGGCTCAACTAATCAGCTGCCATTTGACAAAGATGTGAGGGAATGAGCCTTAAGGGTATCTAAGGACATATGTTAGGCAGAGGCAACTGAAAGTGCAAAGGCCCTGAGCTTGTGTGAGTGAACACCATGAGTTTTCTCTAAAAATACAAAGCTGCTTTAGGTCTTTGCTTCAATGTCACTTTCTCAGTGATGTTACCTATTTACAGATGCAATATCTTCCCTATTTGAGCACTCCCTGTCCCTTTCTCTGCATATCCCATATCTGGCGTATGATATATTTTACCTAATGTGTATTGTCTGTTTTTCCCTACTAGAATGTCAGCTTAAAAAGGACAAGTGTCTTTGTTTTTTATTAGTACTGGATCCAAATTCCCAGAACAGTGTCTCAAATATTTTTAATACTTTATATATTTATGAAATGAACTGATTAAGGTTTATAATACTCTCAGGCTGTTATCTCCATCTTATTGGTGGAGAGAGTGAGCCATGCAACAAATAATTCATGGCAAAATAAATGATGAGCTCTTTAATATGAATGTTGATAGTCACCCTCATCATGACAGAGTGTGACATACGTGCTGGAACGTGTGGGCAGGACTGCACAGTCAGAAGACGTGGATGTGAAGAATTTCAGTTGATTATGTCAGTTGAGATGAGTCAATATCTCTGTCTTCCTATCTGACATGATTATTTTCAGGATCAAATAGGACAGCATTTTATGAAATGTGACAGTGCTTGGCTTAGAGGATGTGCTTGATAAATGTTGGTGACTCTGAATTCCAAATAGTTAATAGATATAAAATCTATTTTTTATTTTTGATGGCACAGCCTTCATGGTTCAGATGACCTCTAAAAACTTTATTCTTCATTGCTGTATTTGGAGTATTCTAGTTATCCATGAGACTGTGTTTGAATTACAACCATTTGTAGTATTCACCTAAATGGCTCAATTCAACAAGTGGGTGATTACAATGTGTCAGGCCCTGTGCTAAATGTTAGGGAAACAAACATACTGGCTTTGCACTTCTGGTACACAGCTTAGAGAATAATATTACAGGATAAAAAAAGTAAAAGTTCATAATATGAATAGAATACATGAGATGTTGTGAGAGAAGTGTGAACAAGGCGTTCTGAGATGTAAAGATGGGATGTTGAGTCCAGCCCTGGGAGCTCAGGACTTCAGACACGCCTCCCTAAATGAGTACCTGAGTAATCTTAAGTGCGAGTAGCAGCAGCTAAAATAGGAAAGAATGTGACAGAGAGGAAAGCAAAGGCAGAGAGGCATCTAATAGCATGCTGTGCATGGCAAGGAAAGCCAGGCACTCACTCAGTATTCCTCAAGCATAACATTGAGGCATTGGGGATATGTGAAATAAATAGGTAAGGAACAGCTCATGAAGAGCCTTGTGCTATGCAGAGAGGCATGGACTTTATGCTAGAAGCAGATGCTAAGGAACCATTGAGGGGCTCTAAGCAGGAAGCAGGAAGTCCATAGTCCGATAGACACAGCTTATTTTTCTCAATGCCCTTAACTCATTATTGGAAAAATAAACCCATATCAAATCTCCCAGTTTTTTTCCTCATAGTTCTTCCTAATATACTATTAATTTGCTGATATTTTCATATCTCAAGAACTTACCATATGGTTCAAATGGTATGATATTCCCATGAACATGTATTTAATTTAATTATAAACTGCCAATTTAATCCTTTCTTTATATTTTACAGAATATTACAGAATCTGGATGCAAAGAATGTGAGGAATTGGAGGAAAAAAATATTAAAGAATTTTTGCAGAGTTTTGTACATATTGTCCAAATGTTCATCTACAATTCTTGATTGCAACTGATTCTTTTTAAAGTGTTTCTGTTATTAACAAACATCACCCTGCTGCTTAGACATAACAAAACACTCGGCATTTCAAATGTGCTGTCAAAACAAGATTTTTTGTCAAGAAGATAATCAGATCTTGGATCAGATGAATTCTTAAAAATGAAGGCATAAAAATGTCATTGAGTAATATATAGTGACTATGAACTTCTCTCAGATGTACTTTACTCATTTGTTTTTAATTTATTATTGAAATTGTACATATTTGTGGAATAATGTAAAATGTTGAATAAAAATGTATACAAGTGTTGTCATTTGAAGCTGCATTGATATTTTTCCTTTTATAGCAAAATAGAGAGCATTTTCTTAAGGGCGATAGTCGAATTATGTATTGGTGGGGCTGGGTACCAGTGCTGCAGGTCAATGTCTATGTTGTTATGCACCTGCCAGTGTGGCACCACTGACTGCCAGCTCTCATTGACTTCCTTACAAAGCAAAGCAACCAGAGGAAGAAATTGCTATCAATAAGCAAAAGAAGAACTATATGTGAACCCTCTTCTTTGCACTGTAATTTAGGTATTGATATATAAAGCAACTGTTATGAAATAAATTGCAATACCCGGCATATAATGTGCATCAGCAAATCTTGGTGGTGATTGGAATAATAAACTTCTACTGATGGGTAGAATGGTGTGAAAGCTTGTCCAACCCATGGATTGCAGGCTACATGCAACCCAGAACGACTTTGAATGCTGCCCAACACAATTTTGTAAGCTTTCATAAATCTCATTTTTAGCTCCTCAGCAATCATTAGTGATAGTGTATTTGAAGTATGGCCCAAGAATTCGTCTTCTTCCAGTGTGGCCCAGGGAAACCAAAAGTTTGGATAACGCTGATATCGAAAACTAATAGTGACAGTGTTTATATTTCATGCTTTCCCAAGCACAGGTATTTTATATTTTATTTTCACATTCTTTTTGCCATTCTATAGAATAAAAAAGATTCTGTTGATTTTTTGGAGCCATTGTTATCTGACAGAAAATAATTGTTTATATTTTTGCACTATACTGTTTAAAATTAGCAAGATTTCTTCTAATGGAACTGTGAGAAAGATGAAATGTTTTTGTTTTGTTATAAATTTATTTCACCCTGATACACTTCTGGTAATACTCACTGAGTGACTGTGGGGTAGGAAATGATCTTTTAAGAATTCGATTTCTCTCCATTCCACAGTATAAACTGGATCTCTGTTGAGATAGTCTTCTATCATCTCAGTGCCCTATTCATGTACATGTGTCTTATTGCTCTAGTCAAACTGTGTTTGTAAATATCTTTCAAGACAGTTTTGGAGAAATCTATATCCTATCTGACTTTCAATGATCATGTATTGGCTCTCAGCTTCTAACATAATCTCAGTCCAGAAAAATAATATTTGGCAATCAGTCTTTAAAGTTTGTGGGTTTTAGATTGTGGCAGTTTCATTTTTAATTTCAATTGAGATTGAATATTTTAATGTACTTGTATTTATGTTTTGTTTCATGTAGCTTTTCTATTAGGGAGAATAGGAAAAATGTACCATTTTCATCTCTAAGTTTCCAGTCCAGTCTTTAGAGGAATGTTAGTCTTCCATTAATGTTTGTTGAGAGCCGGGCGCGGTGGCTCAAGCCTGTAATCCCAGCACTTTGGGAGGCCGAGGCAGGTGGATCACAAGGTCAAGAGATCGAGACCATCCTGGTCAACACAGTGAAACCCCGTCTCTACTAAAAATACAAAAAATTAGCTGGGCATGGTGGCACGTGCCTGTAATCCCAGCTACTCAGGAGGCTGAAGCAGGAGAATTGCCTGAACCCAGG